CACTTATTCATCTCGTTCCCCATATGTTATTCCCCATGTCACTACACAATTCCTACCCATAAATAACTCCCTAAATGGCATTCTCCATGTCACTTAATATGTCATTGCCCATGTCAATCCACATGTAATTCCCCATGATAGAATGAATTTAATTCCTCATGTCATTCCTTTTGTCAGTCTACGTGTAATTTTCCATTTCATACTCCATGTCATTCCAAATGCCATTCATTATGTTATCCTACATGTCACTCCACATGTCATTCCCAATGTCACACCCTTGTCATTCCCATGACTTGCCATATGTAATTCCCATGTAATTCGTCAAGTCATTCCCCATATATTATTCCCCATGTCCCTTAAAATGTCATTCCATATTTCACTACACTTGTCATTCCCCATGTTATTCTCCATGTCACTTCATATGTCATTCCCATTGTCATTCCACATGTCATTTCTCATACCTTTCCCCATTTCATTCCCTATATATCGTTCCCCATGCCATTTGCCATTTCACTCCACATATGCCATCCCCCATGTCATTATCATTGCCCATGTCATTCCGCATGATATTCCCCTTTTCACTCCCCATTTTATTCCTCCATGCCATTCCAAAGTTCATTCCTCATGTAATCCCCATGAAATGTCATCAGCCGCCCGAGCCGAAGTTCTTATGTCATCCCCCCACCCCCAAATCCGGGACAAATTATTTGCGAGCCCTCCCCTACTTTTTAACGGGAGCTCGCGGTTGTATCGCCCTAACGGCGAATCATCTAGCCATGCAAGACACGTCAAAGAGGTAGCTACCTTTAAATTTGACCTTATTGGGAAAGGGATGGATAGCTATGGCTACCATCTTGGGCCCAGAGCTTAACGATATGCTTTCTTGCCGACACAGATCAGAAGGATCTTCATTTGGGTCCATCTGCAAAAGCTTTTCTGAGCTCCAATCAATTTTGTTATTTTAATTGGACCTTGCATTGATTTTATTTTTTCATAAATCTTACACATTTATTTAGTTATGAAATAGAAATGTATTTCTTAACGCAGTTATTTCAATGGATCAGCTATCAGTGTATTTTTCAGAAATTTTCCCCCGGGAGTCATTTCAAATTTTCGGGGTGGGGGGGGGGAGTGTGAAAGATACCAGAGGCGTAGCTAAGGGGTGAAGAGGGGGGCATATATCCCCATGCACCATACGTGCAGGACACCAAATGAAGTGTGATGGTATTTATGTGTATTTATCAGCACTAACACTAGCTACTCCACTAGTATGTGTATCTATGAGGACTAACACTAGCTAATTCACTAGGTTGTGTATCTATCAGCACTAACACTAGCTACTCTACTAGGTTGTGTATTTATCAGCACTAACACTAGCTACTCCACTAGGTTGTGTATTTATCAGCACTAACACTAGCTACACCACTTTCACTCTCTCCCTCTCTCTCTCTCTCTCTCTCTCTCTCTCTCTCTCTCTCTCCTTTTAAACCCTTTTTCCTCGTCTTGGCCATAGTCCATCCATACGCTATCTACTCTACTAGGTTGTGTATATATCAGCACTAACACTAGCTACTCCACTAGGTTGTGTATATATCCGCACTCACACTAGCTACACCACTTTCTCTCTCTCCCTCTCTCTCTCTCTCTCTCTCTCTCTCTCTCTCTCTCTCTCCTCTTAAACCCTTTTCCCCCGTCTTGGGCATAGGCCATCCATAAGAAATCTCCATTCATCAACGGCTCTGTGCTTTCCTTCTCAATTGTTTCTAGATGTATCCCAATTTTGCGTGTCTGCCTCTAGCTCACGTCTCCGTGTATTCTGCTGCCTTTCTTACTTTCTTTTTCCCTGTGGATTCCATCTTAGGGATTGTCTGACCCCAAATTAGGCTGCGTTCGTATTGGGCATGGCTTATTCCATTTGATCTTGGCCTTTGTTTACTACCACTACCAACTAAAAATAATTAATATGTTCAAATAGAATTTGGGGAAAGTTCGGGAGTGAACTAGACAGGTAAATCATGTGTAAGACTGTTCGAGATCTTTCAGATGCATATATATAAAAGGGGATTCAGAGAGCATGGAGGAGAGAAATGAGATTTCTCACAATAGACAGCAGTACGTAACAAAGTCTTAAAATTTGTGAATTTCCTAAAATAAATAAAAAATTAAAACGAATAAACATACCCATAAGTGCGAACTAAAGGAAGTAAGTCTTCGGTTTCAAGTCAGAAGCGACCAGTACGATATTTATAGTCGAATATTATAAGCTTTTAACAAGATTAGCCTTAAATATAAAGATCATTAACTTTTCTTTTTAAATCTGATTTAAAAATGACAATTTAGTCGTTTTTCATTTTGAAAATATATAGTCGTTCTAATAATTTATCAATTTTGCGCCGAGAGGGTGGGGGGGGCTTTGACTTTCACAGGGGGACCCCCCCCCCCCCCCCCGGAGTGATGCTTGAACGAAACCCTTCATCTAAGTAGCTATTCGATTCGGAACTTGAAAGTCCAAGTCGTACGAAAATGTATCATATTTCAATTAACACGCGATCACCAGTTCAATAGCGTATCCGGAAATTTGATCGAAAGACATTTCGTCGACGGTAAATGGATCGACGGTAATTTGATCGAACGGAAATTTGGTCGAAACCTTTTTTTCCTCAGTGTTTACGTTAAAACTTTTGCTTAAAATTTCTTTTCGAACGCATTATTTTGTTTAGCAATATAGTGTAGTGCGTTGAAAAAACAATTCGACGAAAATTTTAACGTCTGAACTGAAAAAAAAGTTCGACCAAATTTCCGTTCGATTTACCGCCGACGAAATTTCTTTCGATGAAATTTCCGGTAACCGTTCAATAGCCACATAGCTTTGACAAGACTAGAAAGTTGTTATCCGGTTCGGGAATACCGATACACTCGCGTTGTTAAGGAAACGCTATAACATACAACGGTTCCTTTTTTGCTGTAATCCTTTGTTATGAGAAGGGTAAATAAAAAAACAAACACTTTATTTATCTATAAAGATTAACGTATACTTACGAATCTGACAACTTTATAGAAATAAGCTAGCTTATTAAATCATACTTTCGGAAATTAGAATTAACTACGCAGGGCGAACGAAAAGACACAAATCATACGACATACTATCAAGTTACGTGTGTTGTTTTGGATTGCACAGTTCACTGACTTCGTACAAGCCGCACTGCTTTTCATTGACGTTGTGCCAGGACGTGTGTCGGGGGTGTCGTCTTCCTAGAAAGGTGTGGTCTTTGATCCCTTTTATATTTTAATATAATTTTTTTTTATTACCAATGCACTCACTATTTAAATGTGTATATGTGTCAAGGTTTGTATTTATATACGGGTATATGTTTGTTTTTTTAACGTCTCTTAAAGATATCGATATTCGGTTGACAAAAGGCGATCATGTTGAAAGACGACGTTCGTTCTTTTGAAATTTATCGACTATAGTACGCACGTCACTGCAGAAGACACACTGTTGGTACTCCTGTGTGTTATATTTTGATTTTTATTACAAGTGAGTATTGCGTTTTTTATCGTGAATCAAAGATAATCGTAAGCAAGCAAATAAAGTGTGGGCCTAGAAAATGCAGTTGTTTTTGTTGTGAATTTGGTTTCCTTTCTTTGGCCGCGACTTCAGATGACTGGTATCAAGGCAATCTTTACTTAAAACCTTTTTTAACAGGTTTTCCCGCCTTTTTGAGCCATCACGTCATTTTATGTGAGTAAACTGATTCGTGATACAATTTATTTCAGCAAAGTATGTATTGTTAATAGTGAAGAAGAAGGCAGTGCATATAAATATTTTTTTTTTTTTTTTATTATCATTTTGCCCCAAAAATTTAATTTTTCGACATGAAACTTGATTTTAAAACCCACTCGCAAACTTTAAGAATTCTCATTTGAGTTTTCGTTGAGGCTAGACACATTGTTTTGTTCTCAACCCTTAGTGTTTTGTATTTTGAATTGAGACACTTTGAATATACATCTCACAGAAATGAGTTCTAAAAGTCTATTAAAATAATAATATGCTTTTAAAACACTAATAGATATATTTACTATGAAAAATAAAAATGCTTTAATATAATTATAATATTTTTAGTAGCATTATGAACACAGAAATAGTGTCGAGGCTAGAGAGCTGGCTCCATATAAGTCATATATGCGCCCACGTTCTGGACCCAGCTCCCCTTCCACATCTGTCATTGTGAAACCTCGTCCACTTTCAAAAAGTCCCTTAAAACCCATCTGTCTAGATCCGCATATGACCTGTGATGCACCCTCCTTGCCCTGCCTCATTTTCTGTCTCGGGTTGATCCTGTAGTATGGGCCAAAATGTGCCAAAGTGTACTCGAATAGCCATTTTAATTGTTTCTATAGTATAGTAGTTACTATCCTAGTATCTCTGGTTTTTCATTTTTATTTTACTTAGTTTACATGTTTTTAAAAATTGTAAAGCGCTTAGAGCTTTAAGGTAAGCGCTATATAAAAATGCATAAATAAATAAATAAATAAATAATGTTATACCCGGAACACACACTCAATTCATTGATGTGATACCCGGATGATTTTTCCCAATTAAACTTTTGGATTTACTCATTATAAGAATGTTGGAATGCAATGAAGCTTTTAAGTCGTTTAAATAACTTAGGCAATGTTTTAATAATAATAATAACAGAATATAAATTCAAACGTTGCGGCAAATACATTTATCAGAACAGCAAAAAAAAACTTGTGGTTTGTCTCAAGGACTTAAAAAAAAAAAAAATGAAAACTAGAAGTTGAAACAAATGCTAAGCAGGTTTTAATATGTTTTTTGTTTCGTTTCTTAAAATAATAAAACGAACTTAGTGGAATACTTGGTTTTTTTTTTGTGTGGTTTGGGCACGGTAATACCCTCTCAAAATAATAATAATTATGACAACTCTAAAAAATAGTTATAGTTAATGTTACAGTGTTAATGTATGTCTCTATATTCCAGTACAATGACTTCAGTCTCAGACTACACGTTGATACTTATCGGCAAGACAGGGTTTGGTAAGAGCGCAACAGGAAACACGATTATTGGAGCACACGAGTTCCTTGACAGCGACTCCTGTGAATCCGTCACATCTGAATGTCAGGTTGCACAAGGCGAGAATTTCGGATTTCACCTAACCGTCATTGACACACCTGGGGTTATGGACACACTTGTCAACAGCGATGAGGCTAAAGAGAAAACGTGCCAAGCGATGATTGACGCCATCTCTAAATGCCCCAAATCTAAAAAACGAGCTCTTTGCCTGGTGCTGAAGTACGGCGAGCGTTTCACTGACGAAAATAAGAAATCTTTGTACATTCTGACACGCGTGTTTGGTGCGGAGTTCCTGGCCAAGTTCTGTGTCATTATCTTCACACACGGTGATTCGTTTGATGCAAATAACAAAGGAACGAAGTCTTTTGACGAATGGTGTCACGAACAAACATTGGAAATGGCGCAATTGTTTAAAGAGTGCAGTAACCGCTGCGTGCTTTTCAGGAACAAAACAGAAAATGATGACATCAAGAAAAAACAAATTGAAGAGTTGATTAAACACGTAGAGGACTTGAAGGAAAGTTACACCGATGAAAAATTTACAGAAGCTAAAAAGAGACACCAACGTTTATTTCTTGAAGCGAATTTGACAAAAATACTAAATATGTTTAATACAAAGAACCAGAGTTTGCAACAAGAACTCGATGAAATAATACTGAATGAGATCAGAAGAGAGAAACTGCAGGATCTGAAAAATAAAACAGAGGGAGTTTTAACAGAGATCGACAAGGACGATGATGGCGTTTTCTACGACATTGGAGAGGTGAGCTTGCTGGAGGACCCAAGGATGTGTACTCAAAAGATCATCAAGAATTGTGATGATCTGCTTCACCTGGAGAAGCTAAAGGCGTTGCAACTAAAAATACAAAGCGATGTCAAGTTACTGGAATCTAAATGTATCAATTGCACCCCCTCTAAATGCTCAATAGAAAGTATGGAAAACCTAGAACAGGAAATGAAAGAATTATTTGGAAAATACAATAAATACGGTTTCGATTTCTGTAGAGGTGACTTGATTGAATTTCAACCGCATATCGATAAAGACATCGGTGAACTACGCTTGAGTGAAAAGGAATTAAGCTTCTTTAATGACGAGATCGAGAAATTTAATCGCCTCGCCAATGCACTCTGCCGCTTAAGAAATGGCGTCGTCTTCGAAAATAACAGAAACGAAATTCAAGGAAAGACCCGGTCCTTGAGGAGAGAGCTGGACGCTGTGCTGAGCTCAGAGATAAGCACGGGGACCTTAACTATACTTAAAGACGAAGCTGAAAGCGTACTGCGGAAATGGGAAGAAGTCGAAGACATGGCTGAGATCTTAGAGCCATTAAGAGAGGTGCACCGGAGGATAGAGCAGAAGATAAAAGACTGCAAGATCAACCTAAAGGTGGAGATCATTTCCGGGGCCGTGTCGGTCGCTTCCGGTGCCGTAGGCGTTGTGGGGGGCGTGGCAGGTTTAAGTAAAAATGCCGTGGCTATTGGCGTCAGCAAAGCAGCTCCGGGTGTGGGGAAAACCCTCATTGCGGGCGGGGACGTGGTCAAATCATTAGTGAAGGGGGGCGTAGCAGAGAAATTAAAACGAAATGGATCAAAAAAGAATACAGAGGAATGAGACAAATGTAACAAAAAAGGGTGGGAAATTAGCATTATAAAACATGAGCAATGCTTTTTATGGCAAAAACAAAAAAAAAATGTGTTTTAGGGTTAATACAATACGTGCTATGTCTACTGATTTATTCAATGCTCGCAGTTACATTTTTTTAATTATTGATGAATTAATTCTATCAATTTTTACGAATTTATTTTTTTAAATACTGATTAATAGATTTGTTCAATTTCACTGCATAATTTATTTTTGTTTATGAATTTAATTTAATTTTTATGAATTTAATTTGTTTAATTATTAGCGAAAAATTTTGTATTTTTTTAATGATTGCATCAGTTTATGTTTAGTTAGTTCATTTTCTGTCATTAATCACTTCATTTTTGTGTATGTGAATAGATTGCTTTAATTTTGCTTGTAAAAAATCGATTCATTTATTTGTGGTAAATTAGATTTGTTTAATTTCGAATACATTGATGAGCTTATTCGTTGTGAAAATTCAGTGACATCTATTTGATTCGCTCATCATTTCTTTCTTTCTGTCAACGTGAAATGATACACATAAAGTTTTGTTTAAAATCTATGTAAACTGAAAGAACATCGATTTATTGTTTCTGTGCATAGCTTTATAACGGAAATGTTTACTTACTTTTATAAACATTTATTACATTAAAAGAAGTATCAGTAATCTGTATTACGTTCGCTGTGTATGATTGTCTACTTACTTGTTGTTCTTGAAGTTTAAAACAATTTTTTTTTTATAACAGCTTTTACACATGTTATAATTAGTCTCAACTCATGTCATCTAGGCGCCTTTGGAAACCTGAATTACGTAAATTGTAATCTACTCGATAAGGGTAACTGAAAAAGTGTAATATGGGGAGAACTGCGTGCAGGTGGAACAAATAAGAAATACAACCTTACAGAGAGGCGGTAAACCTGATGACAGACCAAGCAAAATAGCGGACGATTCAGGGGAAGCCTCCGACAGCAAACAATAGGAAGAGATAACAGAGAGCAATTTATAATAGAAATAATAACTTATCAGAAACAGTAAGAGTAGTTTGGTCTTTTATTTTATTTTTGATTACTGAAACGGAACAGTGTTTCGAAAATGTGCCCAATTTTTCTCAACGCTTATAAAGGGGCGTCTTCGCTAGGTGTAGACAGATGAGGCAGGGGGCTTACTTCGAAGTACCTGCTGTCCGGAGCGTCGACGGGATCAGCGAGGCATATTGGAAGATGGCCAACGTGCTATTACTGCGTGGGTCCTCCTGCAGGACGAGCAGGCGAGACTTCAACCCCAGGACCGGCCGGGCCGTCTTAGGAAGCGTCAATGAAATAGCCTTTCAACCGCCGTCCCAGGTCAGACAGATTTCTGCCATGCGTGAACAAACAACGATCGGGTTTGTTCAGGGTTTCATTAAGAACTCATATAAAACAAAGGAAGCTGGAAGGAGACTTTTCAGAAGCAGGCAGTGTTTCTTTCAGAAATTTTCCCCCGAGAGGGACTTCAGGTTTAAAAGGGGGGGGGGGGCACTTCAGATTTTTCGGGGGGGGGGCAGTGCCAGCAGTTCCAGTAGATTTATTGTTGGACATTTTTTTGCTCCGCGGGGGCACTTGGCTTTCCCGCGGGGGGGGGGGGGGGGGGGGTGCCTGCCCCCCCCCCCCCCCAGGGGTGGGGGGGGGGGGGAACTCGCCCCCCCCCCCCCCCACGGAGACATAGCTGAAAGAAACCCTGGAAGCAGGTAGAGCGAACAGAAATGTAGCTGGCTTTAATTGTAGGAAAGCTAGTTGCATGACGTTTAGTAGAAGCGGCATCTAGTCGACGCAATGGGAGGGGGAGTCAGTGGCGGGCTTGGCTAGCGGCGTGGGAGACTTGGTCCAGGTCGAGTTTGTAGGAAGGGGAGTTAACTGTAGGGTGAGCTAGGGAAAGAGAAAGCAGGGAATTCCAAATGGCCATATCAAAAAGAGAGATTTGATCTTTTAAAAACTTTACAAATATGTAACGGGCATAAATTTTTTTTTAAATAATTAATTTCATATGTCAAATGACACATTTATGTTATTTTATTTAGTAAGGTATTGATTTAAGTACATATGAATCGTTTGACAAATAAAGAAATAGTTAATACATTATATTTTATTTGGTGATTAATACAGAGCAAAGTCTTAATCAATTTTTGATTCTATTATTGAGATTATTGAGATTGTTGCGATAGCTATCCTAATAAGGTGACATGATAATTGATATTATCTATAGCGGTTATATTAAAAATGAATTGTAAATTTTTGAAGAATTTTGTCCACAGTAATGAAATTAAATGACATAAATAAACTTAAAATATGGCTATAATTAACGTCAATTTTATTAACGGATTGTAAAAAATATATTTAAAATTTCAATTTGAAATAGATGTATTCATATTTAATGAGAAACAAAATACAACTTTAACTGTACTAAAGACAAATATTTTTAGTTTTTCATAAATACGTAAGACGTGCATCTGTTATATGTTCACCCGACGGCCAATCTGCAGTCACCATCACGTCAGTAAATATGAGGAACACAACAGCTTTCAAGACGCGTGTTGTCATCGGGAAATTTACACAATTTGAACATTTTTTTTTTCCCTTGTACTGACCAAATGGTGTGGCACCAAGTGATCAGTTAATGTAAATTTCGACATTTTTATTACGTTTTTATTCAATAATTTTCGTATAAAGATAGTCAGATTAATTTTTTTTTTTTTTTTTTTTTTTTTTTTTTTTTTTTTGTTTTTTTTTGTTTTTTTTTTTTTTTTTTTTTTTTGGGGGGGGGTGNGGGTGGGGGGGGGGAGGGGGATGGGGGAATGTCTTTGGTTAGCTCAGTCATCTGTATTAAAATTTAAAGGGCATTTTTTTATGTCATAATTCTCGGGATTCAATTACGCCTTTCCGGAATGTCATAGAAATTTGAATTTTAAATGTTAAAGGTTAACGACAGCTGTCGAGAAATTTGTATTATCCTTAATCGACGACACAAAGGGGGGTGTTTTATTGCTCAAAAAATTTTTTATAATGGGTGGATGTTATAAATGTGTTTGTTTTATAAATGCTTGCTTTTAAAATAAATTTGTTGGTTTTAAAAATGTGTGAGTTTTAGTGTGTTTGTGTGTTTTTGACAAATATATGTATTTTTTATAAATGTAACTATTGATCCCCATAGCATTTTTTAACTGAGAAATTAGCACACTTCTATGTTCAAGTATGAGATGAAATTAATTGTGAAAAATATGGCAAAAGAGTTTGATGGAGAGGCTTTAGGTAGCATTTGGACAAGTTTTAAAACGAATAATTTTGTCTATAAAGAAATGGGTAATTAACTGTAAAATTTTCTATTAAAATATATCGTTTATTAAACTTATACTCAGCGACTAACAGTTTTTTTTCAAGATTCATTATCTAGAATTGTCTAGAATGTTCAACTAAATAACCACTTGCATAATTCCTTGCTTCAAACGCATTTGATTGATAATAAAAGCTTTTCAAACAGTTAATATATAACTTAAAGTCCCTGTTATGTTAAAAGAATATTTTGAACACTTCGAGGATGAATTTGTATGTTTCCCATAACAGCACTTGATGTTCGTTTGAAATGATGAGTCCATTACCTAATTGGTTTTAAGCGATTAAAAGATTAATTTCTTGCCTTATAAAATCAATAGTTTGAATAATTAACAAAGCGGCTTCTCGCATACAATATAGAATTGTTCCAAGCAACTGATATCGTTCAAGAGGGGAGTACCCCATCTCAAGGAGCTGCAGTCTTCATCGCCATTATTATTGTCTGGATTCCCTTTGCTGAAGATCTCCGTCTTCAGGGTTTCGTTGATCTCCTGACCATCATCGATCCAGACGAACTTTCCCTCCACGGCGATGTCATCCAGCCCGAGCCACGTCCCGAACTGGTTGTCCACAATGGTCAGGGCCAGCAGCCGAAATTTGGCTTTTGATTTGGCCACGTAGAGATTGGAGTCTAGACACTGGCATGTCGCGATGGCCTGAGAGTAGAGACGTGGTGTCTTGTAGTAGGCGATGAACGCACTCAGCGTTGCGTCTGATCGTCTGCTGTACATCAGATACATGAAATCTTAAATTATTTTAACAAAAATAAAATGTAAAATAATGTTGACGTTAATCGAGAACAAAAAAAGCACAGTAAAAGACTCAAAGGATTCTCTAATGCATAATCAACATTCAATGATATCAACTACAAAATAGGTTGATAGTGTTACAAATTTAAGTGTCCTGTTGCTTATAAACTTAGATGTTTGTTAAGAAAGCAACAACGTGAAACCACTTGGGCTCCTATTATGTAGTCTTAGCTAAAATGTAAATCGCATTCTATTAGCGTGCAAATATATCAACCTTCAGTCCGATATTCAATCTTTGTGACTTATAGCCACTAGATAAATTGGGTGTCTGATGATTTATTATTTCTTTTTGTTTAAAAGCACCCATTTGAAGGAAATGCACGGGTAATAATTATTTGATCTCTGATTGCCATCTGCCGACCACTTAGTTATTTAGAAACAGACAAAAAATCGTATTTTATAAGTTTCAAAAATTTTATTTGACGCAAAAATAAAATTCGAAGTTAGTTTCAGGCACTTTTTATAAGGAGCCTTACTAGTCCCAACCAATTAGCACACAAGTTACAGGTAATAACTTCGACCGAAATCGTTGAACGCCTAAGCTACACAACTTGTCAGAGTTTTGCAGGACAGAAAAACTGATAATGAGACGTCTATAGTATAAATTAAATTCTGCGACCTGTCTATCAACAACATCCTGTACAAACCTAAAGTTTTGGTAAGCGTCACATTCACTGGTGACAAAGAGTCTGCCTTCGGAATTTCTTACTGGCTTCTCTGTTGGACCTATCCGACCCCCAGGTATGCAGTGCCTCGTCATGTCATTATACAAAAAGCTGTAGCAGTTCTCTGGGTATCTGCAAAAATGGAAAACATCCTTTAATTGACTAGAGTTGATCTATATAAGATCTTAAAGTAAGT